CTAACAGTGATGGAAATGGGTGATACACCCTCCATAGAGGACATCCCTGGCTTGTCTAGCGCTGGTGTATGGATTCTATCCCAGATCTGCTCTCAGCCCAGCCCCTGGTGTAGGGATATGTCTGGGGTGGGTCAGGGTGTGACCAGATTGCACTGTGCTGTGGCTGGTGTCTGCTTCCCAGGGCCTGATGGGAACAAGAACAGAAGCTAGAACAGCTTGGAGGCTACTCTAATTTACCCCAGGAGCTGGGCAGGCCCCTGTCTGCCCCAGAATACAAGGATCACAAAGGTACTTTAAAGCTACCTATGTGCCTACCCCCGCAACTTCAGGAATGGAGGAACTGAGAACAGGAGCCAATCCGAGAGAAGATTTAAGAGTTGGCTCATTCAAATGGGTTTGAAAGGAGGTATTCACAGATGTTTACACCTCTGACTCCCAATCTTTCCATTACCTGCACAGGTGGCCTTGTATCATCCCCTTGAGTTTACAATGATTAATGCTCATTGATGTCAAGATGCCATTTGCCTGTGCCAGGGTTTCAGGATCAGGCCTATATAACCAATCCAAACTTTAATAGGTAGGGCTGCAGCTTGCCTCCAACATTCCAGTTGGGGAAAAAATGATCTGTCTTGGTCCTTTGTGAGAGCATTTGCTTCGTAAGTGTATTTGTCTAACACTCCAGTTCCGCTCAAATAAAATCTGTAATCAAAACAGATGACACTTCTAATTTAGTGAGGGCCTCTCTGATAGCACTGAGCTACAGCAGTTTGAGTGGGACCATCAGTTCACATTCCTCTTCCCAATTAAATGACAGAAACTAGTTAACTAATGGAATCAAAGCAATATCCTAGATGAGCTATGTAAGAAGGTATCTGAACTGTTTTCACACACTTGTTTGCTTTTTCATGACTTGAAATTAAAGTGTCAGTTCTATACTATGTTATACACTAGTTTTGAAGGGCAAAAAAAGTATACTGGGAATATATACAGTATTTTTTTTAAAGGTGCATTTAGTGGGGGGCAGGGAGAGCTCATATAATGCAGTTAGATTTTTCATCACTGGTGAAATCTAGAGTTCCCCGATGAAGGCAAATCTTGGCATGCCTGTGGAGTATCTAGCTTCCAGTTGAGCGGAGGAAGGAGCCTACATAAACTTATTTAAGGAAAATAATGCAATCTGACCCACTGCTATTCCCCCTCTCCTCTGTCCTGGGAGCCCCCTGCAATTGCAGCAGAACTGCCAGGTTATCTCAGTCAGTCCCGGTTAAAAGACTTGCCCTAACCTTGTGTTCTCTCACTCTCACCTGTGTGCATCTGGTCTCCAGAAATCCGCTTTTACAGACAATAGGAAACCGGTGTTTCCCATATGATTTTTAATCTCTCTCTCTCTCAGCACAGTAAACCTTGAGAGGAATCTCTTGGGAAATGCCCTTTGATAGCCTCCAATATCTTTCACTCTGGCTTTAAAAATTCCTCCTCCTCAGAAATCTCTGAAATTTCCTTTACATCTCCCTCTTCCCCTAGGTAATGGAAGGTGACATGTGTGAGCTGGGGCCTGGCACTTTGAATGCTGAAGATCTTGATGGCCCTCATAATGCACTGAGTTTCTGTGTCATTGCCCCCCACCCCCCGTTCACGGATTGACATTAAATGGAGTCTGTGGCAGAGATGTCGGTTGGTACAAGGAGCTGAACTCAGCAGTCCTTTATCAAGATTTACAGATTCACAGCTTTTCCTTGGCTGAACTCAAGCAAGGTCTGAGTAATGGAACTTTGGCTTTCCTTTACTGGCTTTTATTGTTCGTACACTTTCGCTGCATCAGGGCTATGTGGATTATATATGATTGCACATGTACAAAACGGTCTCCTTGGTCTCAGTGTTAACACACTATTATGAGACTTGGATTAATTACAGCCTCTCTTGTGGCCCGTTCACAAGGAATATGGTCATCTGTTCATAGGATGTTTTGTCTTTACTGAACAAGACTTTTAAAAGGCTGGGGTCAGATCCTTGGCTCTGAATGCTTAATAATTTTCATTTATCAGCTTCGCAGCACAAGAGCTTGCCTCTGATCTAACTAGATTTACGTTGTATGAGCTGCGGATGTCCTCTGCTGGAAACCACAGTTCATTGCAACAAGCTCGATATATGCTTAAGCTTTTCAGACTCAAGAAAGAGGATGAATTGCACTTTCCTTAATATTGTCTGTGCAAAATGAGCTGGGGATTTCACTTTGAAAACAGAAAGAACTGAGACTATAGTGATAATTTATAGTGTACGTACTGTATAGAATGTATGGCTTGCTTGATGGTCAGCGGAATTGTAGTTTTCTGCAAATATAAGAAATAATTGCACAAATCTTCCTCCTCTCCCCCACCCTGTTTTTTTCTAACCACACTACAGCTTCCATACTGATTGTAAAGATTTCCACAAGAGCTTGTTGTTAAGTGGATGAAAGAGTACATACCTTCCACAACACAAGCCAAGCCAAAGGGAAATGATGTGAAAGAGAACTGGCCAGTGCAGTCTGTAGCTTAACCATGTGATGGACCCAAAGGCATCTCTGAAGCTGCCAATACAACTGCCTCTAGAATCTGCTAAAGAACCAGATGTATTTTGCACAGCTTGGCATCTGTGTCCTATTCTTGCCAAGTGAGGAGAAAGGAGCAGGGTGTGGAGGAGAAGCCGTACAGGGCTGTGGGCTATTTGATTATGATTTAAGCTGAGAAACCAACCACAGAGCTTTGTTTAATGTGTGTGTTTCAGATTTGTAAAGACCTACTTCACATTTTTTAAAAACTAGCAACAGTAATTCTGTAGATTGATTTAAGTGAGATATACACCTTTTTCACAGAGAAAGGCCTTGGAGTGGGGGAAAAAGAAATCTCAAATTTGTGTATAGATTAAACTGATTGCAACTATAAGGGAAAAAAACCTATTTATTGCAAACGTAATAGAGTTACATTAAAGAATGTACAGAACATTTCCTAGAATCTTGTGCATACTACTCCTATAGTCCCGAATGGATCTGACTGCTTGAAGTTGATATACTCATCATTTGAAGCCAGATATAAACAGGTGGTTGAAGCTTTTGGAAAGTTAACTATCAGTTATCTTAATTTCTTATTCCTAGGAAAGTCTGACAAGCTGAATGGGTCCTTTTCAATTATTTAAATGTACTTTTCCATAAATATTTGTTTTTAAACTTAAACCAAAAATGACCATAGGATATTGTGGGGGCTCTGGTGGGCCAGATCCTCAGCTGATGTGAACTGGCCTTGCTCCATTAATTCCAGGGAAATCATGGAGCCAGACTGATTTACTCCAGCTAAGGATCCAGCCCAGTGACAAGAGCTAAGGATATGTAGGGTTTCAATCCATTAGAGCTTTCTCAGATGGAGCACAACCGAACTTATGCATGTTCCACAGAGCGATTTCAAGGAGATGAATACATCATTTAGATCCATCTTCCACACTGTTTGGATTGCACGCTCCAGAGACGTGTAATGGCCCTTAAGGAACTTGTACATAATGGCTGCTTCCGTCTTTGAAAAAACGGAGACGAGAGGAAATTAGCTTCCTGAAGCCGATTTATTAGAAAAAAGCTTATTTTGCAAACTGGAAGGGAATCTATCTGTGCATTCCATATATACCAGGGCCATCCACGAAACACAAGCCACTCTTTCCTAGAAGTAAGAAGCTTGTTCAGCTTTTATACAATGAGTTAAAAACCCTTTACAGATGTGATTGAATTTGAGTTCTGTTTTCTTAGGCCTCTCTTTTGCAAGTCGCACTATACTGGTGTAAGAGTCTGCAAGTGCAGAAACATTTTAACCCAGCAAACACATGATACATTTGGTGAATAGCAATTATTAGAATTGGCAGAGCACATTTTGTGGCAAGGAGATAAATCTAAATTAAACAGAGAGGCACTTGGTTAAAGTGCTGCGTAAAAACTGTCGTCAGCAATGGAAGGAATAAGACCCTGTAAAATATTTGTTGCTGTATCTCTTGCAATTGCTCAGGACAACTTTATTTATTCAATTAACACCTGTTTATTTTTAGGAATGTCTTTCCTTTAATGCTGTTTTTAAATTCCAGCATATTCAAATACCTTCTCATTGCATTCAAGTCCCTTTTGAATTTGTCAAACTCTTGATTTATTTAGTTAGGTGCTTTTCAAGCCAATTGCTATCCCAGTTTTAGGTATTTCCTGTCCATGAAGAGCCTGATCCCACATTTCTTCTGTAGCCAGCTCTCCCAACAAGGATAGAATCATGTTCTAGGGGATGGGATGCTAGATTAGGACTCTGGAGACCTTGATTTAAATTCCCACCCTAGCCACAGACTTCCTGTGTGACTTGGGCAATTCACTTAATCTGCCCTGTCCATCTGTTCTCATTTATTTTGAGAAAAAAATGGCTTACTACTTCTCTACCTTGCCAGAGGTGTTGGGAGGATAACATCCAGAATGGTTGTGAAGCGCTTCGACGTTATGATGCTGAGGGCTATGCAAGTACCTGGAGAGATTAACTTTAATGGCAGTTCTAGCTGTGGAAGAAATGCTGGGTCAGGCCCAGGATATCCAAAACTATTTTAAAGGCCCCGAAAACACATTCAAGAAGCTGTCATGATTTCACCTCTGGTATGGAACTCACCAACGGTCTCCACAGAAGCTCGCCAAGCTTGGATGGTGATGAACTATCAAGGTGGAGGGACTTCCACTGAGATTGTTCTCCGCTGGCTGTGCATGAACAGGAATAACCGCAAGAGCAGCCAAGTGGATCTCAGTTGTCATGATCCAATGTAAAAGGGATTGTGTCCTAAGGCTGTCGCTGCTTCCGTTGAAATGAATGGCAAAACTCCTACTCATTTTAACAGGAACACGATTGGGCCATGGGATAACTGGGTCCCAGGCCTCGTAGTTGTGTTTTGAATCCCATAACTGGTGTCCTTTTGAAGATGACTTCAGTGTTCTGTTCTAAGTTTTCACTGTCCAGTTCTCCCCCCCTTCGCCTTCCTATAGGACTGATGTTAGTGTACATGCATGATGACACAGAAAGCCTAGAGGATAGTTTTACCATGCAGCTGACAGATGGCAAGCACACAGTCCAAGGGACGCTTTACATCTACATCATGCCAGTCAACGATGAAATCCCTCATCTTTCCAGGTTAGCTATTTAAGTGACATTGAACGCAAAATGACTTTAAGAAAAAACTGCACGCAGTAGCCAGGGAAAACATGGTTTCATTCTAAGTGTTAGCATTTTGAGTAAATTGTTGTTGGTAGGAAAAAAAATTTTTTTTTCTTGTACAGTAAAGACATTGAATTGTAACCTGAGCCAGAGTTCAGCTAAAGCCTTGACCAACTAAATACGATTGAGTGAATGTAGGGGCATTTTAAGGACATGGTGAAATCCTGGTTGCATTGAAGTCAAGGGCAAAACTCCCACTGACTTAATTTGGGCCAGAATTTTACCCTTCCTCCTCCTCCTCCTTCATCACCTTCTCCCCTGGCCTCCTTCCCAACCCACAACACATTTTTCATTTCCCTCAGGCTACTTTTGACAATTACCCCCATTTACTGCAGTGCGATGAGATCCCTATTGATGCTCGTTAGCAGATAGGGGCTGAATCTGCTCCCTTTACATGTTAACCCTCCTATTGGCTTCAATAGGTGCTGAATGGATCCAGAGCGCGCAACCTGCAGTGCCAAATGCTCTGAACATGCCTTTTGTGAGGTGCAATTGCTGCTGTTCTTACAATGTTTTTAAGGCCTTGGCTACACTGGCGCTGTACAGCGCTGCAACTTGCTGTGAAAATGCCCCTCCCCCCCCCGAGCGCAGCGCTTAAAGCGCCAGTGTAATCAGCGCCTGCAGCACTGCAAGCTATTCCCCTCGGGGAGGTGGAGTACTTGCAGCGCTGCGAGAGAGCTCTCGCAGTGCTGGCGGCGCGACTACACTCGTGCTTCACAGCGCTGCCACTACAGCAGCACTGTGAATTTTCAAGTGTAGCCAAGGCCTTAGTTAAGTCCTGCTCTGACTGGAGAGGAATAATCTCGTGTGTTGTAGCCCGTTCATGATCTTGCTAAAACAACCATGTTCTTTTTAATTTGGAAATATTCTACGGCAAACGCAGGAAAAGCTAATTTTCCTCAAAACAAGTTTATTTGTATGTAGTTTGTGTGTATGTACAAAACCTGAAAGTTAAGCTTACAAGTATTAAGGTCATGTTTTCCAATTCCAGTGTTTAGGCCCCAAAGTAAATGGCCTGATTTTCAGGAAAACACCTACAAAATTAACTTCAATTCTCAGCCCTCTGTAAATCAGACAGTTTGTTCAGATGCCCAATTACTACAGCTAGTGGAAATATTGTTCCCGAAAAAAATAATTTTTTGATTAAGGGTTTGTAAAACCACAAACCTCGAAACAAAATAAAACAACAAAAGTTTAGGTATCGGAATCTGAAAATGTTTTGTTTTTCATTAACTGATTTTGTTGTTGTTGTTGTTGTTGAAAATAATGTAGGAAAAATTTCAATTAACTTTTTTCATGGGGAAAAAATTATACATTTGCGGACCAATTCTACTAGTTGCAGATTTAGATGCCCAACTTTAGGTACCGAGCTTTGAAAACTGAGCCCCGAAGGCTTGTTTAGATATCTATGTGCTGATTTTAATTTGAAAATTTGGCCCATAATCTAAGGTGCAGTGCAGAGGTGGCTGTTGCTCTCACTCTGGGGTAAGGAGTGGGGAGTGACACAGTGGTATGTTCCAAAGAGGAATGACTTCCATGTCTGGAGTGAAATTTTGAACCCTCTGAAGTCAATGGCAAAACTCCCATTGACTTCAATGGGGCTGGGATTTCACCCCTTAGAGATCAGGCTTCAAAACCTGTCTTGGCTCTGAGAGAGAAAAGCAATTTGGTGACCTCCACAAAGGCAAGCCATCATACAGTCTGGTACAATTAATAGTCTCTGTTCAAGGGTCTATTCGAAGCCTATTGAAGTCATTGGACTTTATATCAAGTCCTAAAAGGACTGTGTAGAGAAGTCTGGCTCTTTCCAGTGGTATTACGGACTCTTAGTTTATTGAAGAGTTTCCATCAAATGAAGGAGAGGCCTGGTAGTGGTTCAGTATGTTTCATAAGAGGGTTTCAAAAGTTGCCAGACATATAATCGTGAAAAATAAATTTGATAGGATGAGCACAAAGTAACGGATTGTATTTCTTTTATTGGTCTCGCATATCTAGGAAGACAGTCCAGGGGTAAGGACATTAACCTGGGATATGAGAGATCTTGGTTTGATTCCTTGTTCTACCATAGATTTCCTATGTGATCTGGGGCAAGTCATTTTGTGTCAGTTCGCATCTGTAAAATGGGCGTAATGGTACTTCCTTATTTCACAGGTGTGTTGAGTAGAGCTGGGTGTGAAATGGTATACCAATCCTGCGAGAATTTTTGAGATTTCAAAAACTTTTCCTGTTCTGAATTGGGGCAAAAAGATGAACACTCAAAATTTTTCACAAACTGAAAACCTTCCCTCCCCCCCACCCCACCCCCCAAAAATTGGAATGGGCCAATTGAAAAGTTTTATTTCAATAATTTCAAAATGTTTCATTTTTGCTTTAATCTTTTAAAATGTTATAAATTTTATTTTAGCTTAAATTTTGAAACAAAAAGTCAATTCGTCCTGATAAATGGAACATTTTTTGCTTTAGAAAATTTTGATATGAGACATTTTGAAAATCCCAAAACTTTTTTTTTCAAAATGGGAAATTCTTTGAAATCAATTATTTCCCATGAACAGTTTCAATTTAAACAAAGTCCTGACCACCTGTAGTTGTGAGGATAAATATCGTGCCTGTATTTCAAAGCATAGATTAATAAACTTGATGAATGTATAAAACAAAATATTATTCTGATTTTTTTTCCTTAAAAGATCCCTGGATATTTGGGACCCTTTCTGGCATCCTTGTCAGAGAAAGAGTTCAGCAATTCACTTCATCTTGTCCTCCTTCATAGGGAAGCAGCAGACTGAGGAGTGCTCAGTTTGGTATTGATACTCCACATATTTGAAATGGCCTTGGGTACGTTCCCAGAGCATCATGTGTATATTTTTAAAATGTTTATAGATGCTGTAAACATTGAACGGTTACAAAATGGCAGAGTCCCTGCTTTCTGCCTGGATTTCCTCTGGGGCTCACCTGTTCAGAGTGTGCAAAACTTTCTCCTCTATGAGGGAAACATCGCTAACCTTTCATCCCTGACTTTCAAGTTATGGAGCCCTGGGGCAATGGAGATTTATGACAACTTCTCCCCCCAAATGTCACAATGTAACATCAGAAGTTTGACGGTACTCAACTGTACTTAATAATATTCAGGGCTGGCCTTTGGTCAAACAGCTCTCTGGAGGAGCCAGAGTTTGGAGCTTCCCAGAGTACAGAAAGCTGCCATCAGGAAGCAAGGGACAGGCTACACCACTTGACCTATTGAGGCCACTTCCAGCCCTACATTTCTATGATTCTCAGTTATTTGATGCATTTAACCACTTATTTGTCTCATGAAATCTCCATCACAGTTGGCTGTGATTAATCAGATTTATTTGGTGTTCATATTAATTGAACAAATAAACTTTTTAAATTTTTTACACTCTGGGGACTGAGCAATATTAGTCAAAATTTGAGCTGTGCAGCTTAGTCATGATAAACCAGAGGATGCAAATGGTATTGTTTCTTTTTCCTTTTTGGATAAAGATGGAAGCACTTACACCAACAGTGAGTACCAGTGTTTGTGCAACCTTTACTCTTGTTGGTGGGTACTTACTCACGTGACTAATCCTATTGATGACAATGGGATTACCCAGAGAGTAAGTGTTCACCATCATGAGTAAGGGTTGTACAACTGGGCCCTGTAAATTTATGACACAAGTACTTATGCATGCAATTTTGACATTTCCTTTCTGCAAACTAGAAGTCAGAAGAACATGATCACTTGAATGTCTGTGCAATGCAAACACAAAAAGAGAGGGTGACAGCAGTTGAAGGAAATTCATTTTAAACAAATTTAAGATATTTTCTTGCAAAAATTTTTTGTATTATTCATCTATGCACTCATAATAGGATTGAAAATTTTCTGTTCATTCTTGCCTGTTAACTTAGGAATTATAAGGCTCAATTGGCTCCTATGGTTGTAATGGAAAGCAGTGTAAAAATTAAAAATAACTACCGAGTTGTGAGAGATCTTCTTCCAGCAAAGGAAAGCCACACAATGCTACTTGTGCACCATCCGTAGCCTGTGATTCTGGAAAAGGACATAACTCATATGTTGACATAGGCAGGATTTTTCATTCAAGTACCATAATAAATGTTTGTTTAAAGTGAAGATAAAAAACCCTACGTTCTTGATGCTAAGACAAGCCTGTTCATGCCTAATAAATTGGAGAAATTGCTCAAGAATACTTCATCCGTATGAAAACATGAGCCCTGTACTGCTGCCAAGAGAAGTGAGACCTGTGGTCTCATGCTGTGTAAAGTGATGGTCACACAAATTAGCGTTTCCTGGGTATGGCACTCTCTCGAACACAATTTTCCTGAAATGTGAAAACATTCTAGGGAAATTACTAGATATTATTTACTTTTTTCAGCCAAATATTCCCCATTTGGGTACGTTCACCTTTTTGCATAGCTGTTTAGCTTACCAAGACCCAAAATGGAGCCTGAGGTACCATCTTTAGATAATCTGAGCAGCAGAGCAACATCACACCACTTCCTCCATTTAAAATTCAAGGGAGATATGGGGTCAGGGAGGGATAAAGCATGGGCAGGAAGCCTTGTTGGCAGCAGTCTTGTGGTGGGTGCTGTACAAACATATAAAGACATTCTGTGCCATCCCCAAGAGTTTCCAGATTAAAAAAATAGGCTCATCTCCTTGCTCACACCCCAACTGATCACTAATTTGTCCAGGAACTAACTGACCTTTCTATCAAGCCACTTCACTCATATTCTTTTCAACGCCTCGTTTCCCTCCCCTCCCTTGTTAGTGCTGCTGCTGCTTTAGTGGCAGCCTGATAAAGTTTTCTACCTCCCAAAGGTTTTGGGCCTCACCCCTGGGAGATGGCCATGGCTGGACCCAAGGAGGTAGCGTGGGATAATGGTACTGGATCTGAGACACACACTGGCCTCCCAGGGCTGGATAGGGGAGCAGCTTCCTGTCATTTCTATTTTTTTTTCTGACCAGCTCAGAAAAAGAACAACCCTCCATTGCACTGATCTGAGTGTAGTGTTATGTAAAATACATCCTCTGGAGCTAGTAGCCGCTGTGCAAGATAGAGACATGGCTAAGTGCAAAGAGGAACAGGAATTTCAGCTCACAGATTATAGTTGTACAATGCCAGTTGTGAAGTGATGTGCCTTTAGTTTACTCACCTGGTGTCCCACTTCATATCTTCCTACAGGTTTGGAAGTTGATGAAAATAAAGTCATTTCCAGTGTAGCATTAGAAGCAGAAGACAAAGATTCCCCCAGGGATAAACTCCATTACATCATCAACAATGAGCAAAAATTAGGGAACCTAAAGTTAAAGGTGCTGATGTCTTTCAGTGTCTATCTATTTTTAACTTGTAAGCATGCAGCGTTCCCACTTAATTCTGAACACAGTATTCGCACACCTGAAATGGTCCACACTTAACCTCTTGCATGGTTTGCCTTTATTGATAACATAAATAGTAACAATAAAACATAAACCGCAGCCAAAATTCTCCTGATTTTTGGTTAGTCCTAGGGGTTCACCCTGTAGTACCACTCTTTCTCTTCCCCAAATTTCCTGTGCCTCAGAAATAAAAGGATTTCAGTGTCTACCCTTTTTGAATTAAAGCTAATAGGACCCACCCGATCTGACATCAACATGAGCCAGTAGACATAACCCTACATCACTGCGCAGAGTCTTTTTAGCATCTGACATTAGGATAAGTCAGCAGAAAAATGTCACCTCTCTATACTGGGTCCTAGAAACTGACACTTTGCTCCCTGACTTTTTGAACCATCTCTTGTAATGAAACATTATAACTGACTTTTATATTGGTTCACTAAGCCACTATGCTGTCTTCTTCCTTTTATAATTAAGCAACTTGAGAAATCCATTGGGGTCAATAAATTTTGAGAACGCTTATATAAAACAGAATATAAAGTGGATAGTCTTGCCATCAGAAGCCAGTAAAAGTCAATACCTTTATGTGGCACCTATACAAATGGCATTATGTCATTGCAAAATATTAGTAAGAAATTGTAAGGTTTTTATGCAGGGCTATAAAATGTAATGAGTCTCACATAATTTACTAATATAAATGCGTATGTGTGGAGGGAGAGAGGGAGTGATTTTAAAAGTAGAATTCCAGCTTTTTGTCATCTTGTGTGCATGAGGAAATCTAGCTCATAGAAATATATTACAGTGTATTTCAGCATTTTTTGTTTTGTTTTGCTTTGCTTTGCTTTGCTTGCTGGGAATGCCGAAAAAATCATTTCAGGAGTGAGGTGGTCATGCTTGACAATTTTTCAGTAAAAATAGCAAAATGGTAAGAAAATGGAAAATGTTATGGTGCTAGTTAGGATGGCTATATTAGTTCTTGGCTATGGTATAGCGCTTTAACTGTCTGCTGATGCCTGCTAGATGAAGCAAAAATGTTGTAGATTTAAAAAAAAAACAAGGTGCTATATTTCAGTGCTCAAAGTTTGCTTTTTTTTTTTAAAAAAAATTATATATAATTATATGACCAATCTTTTGAGTCGCTAATTTTATAAGGGGATCATCTGAATGGTTACAGTTCTGAATGCTTGAGTTGTGATGAAGTTAAACATGATCTGTGAAGTTGGGGAAAGAAGTTCATTGCTTCTTCACTGTTCAGTCTCATGGACATAAGCAAACATGTTTGCTAATAAAAATGTAGAGTAGGGATTGAGCCTTCTAAATAAAAAGCTCAAGTACTCTGGGAGATGGTTTAAATGACAAGCTCAGCTTTTTGTCCTGTCTGATAATACTGGTCAATAATGACAGCAAGCTGATCAAAGCTGGAGGAGGAAAGGGTATGATAGACCGTATTCATTAAATATCCATGCTAGACATTATATAGGCGCAAGAGTAAATATTCAATAGTGACACTGTTTAACCAAATCAAAACTCTTTTCAGGTGCCACAACTGTTCATTATTACATGTATGAATGAACGGTCCTTTCAGTCCAACAACAGCTTCATTAATATTCTTAACTTCTTACCAGATTCAGAGCTAAAGAGTTAGAAGTTCTAAAAGATGGCAAACAATCAAATTGCCCAATTTTTATGGGTTTTGGAAGCGTGACTTTGTAGGACTGTAAACGGGGCTGTGGCTTCAATGAAAGTGTGTGTGTGTATATATATATATACATATATATATATAAAATTAAGGATCTTCACAGGTCCTAATATTCAGATTTGAAACCCAACATATTTGGGTGTTTTCAGCATTGCTACCTCCTCTGATGTGTGCTAAGTCTTTCTTGGGCAGGTGAGATGCAGTGCAGGAGCTTGCTGGGTGGGATGGTGCTGAGGGAATAGTGTGATGGTCACTGTGTAGGGTAAGTTATTAGCCATAAAGAATAGGATAATAACAAATGCATCCAAAATTAACTTGTGCCTCTGCGTTTCAAAAGACTAACAAGCATGGTGGCAACATTGAACTTGAAGAAGAATACCGTTGGGTTCAAAGTGCCTGCTGTGATTGCTGCCGGCCTAGGTGGACTCCTAACTCTCTTCTGCCCTCCCATCCTCATCACCATAGCAACACCCTCACATTCCGACAAGTTCTTGCTACCCCAGTCTCTCCCTCCCTTTTCCCTGGCAGACCCCAGACACTTGGAAGATATTCTTCTCTAGGTTCCTCCAAGAGGTAAGTGACCTACTGTAACTCTCCTCCCAGCACCCCACAGCCTTGCCCAACTCTGTAGCTCTTGACAAACATAGGTGCTCAGTTAGGGGCAACATTCACCTGAATCTTTTAAAGTATGTGTCTTTGGGAAAGGGTCTGGGGTGAATTTTGATCATGTTCTTACTCCAGAAGTCAGTTTATAAAGGTGAAAGCTATTTCTAGTACTGTGGACATAAATGGTTGTAGATGCTACAGGTTTGTGCAGGGTTGTACATAATGCCTCTTTGGGATAGCCAGGACAATTATGAATGGACCCTAGGGTGTGAAGCTGCTGTTTGTGGTGTCTAGACTTGTGATTACTGAAATTGAATTAAACTGGAGGAAACTAGGCTGGAAGGAGAGTGGGCTCCTGGAGGGATGGAGTGGGGAGAATGGAAAAGACAAAAGAAGCTATAGTACTCATCCTAACAACTCTGTACACCCCCTGAACAGCAAAAGCCCCCACATGTCATCCTGATGTTTGGAAGAAGGCTATTTTGCTGCTGTTTTGTTTGTTTGTTTGTTTGTTTGTTTTGTTTTTTAAGTAAGCTGCAAAGAAGCCATAATGGCACTTTTTACCATGCCCTATAAAAGCAATGCATGCATACCAGCGGCTGCCAGTCTGAAAAGGCCAAACAGACTAAACATCCTCAGCAACTCCCTGCCCATCCTGCCTCCACCTGGGCCTTTTGAATTAGTTGCTTTAGAGCTAACAAGACTTTGTGGTCGGTGATAGGTCCCAGCTGAACTAGTCTAACTCTAGATAGAATTATTCTGGCAAAGAGTTCGAAAACATAATCCAGTATCGAGACAGAGTCTGAGATGGAGTGGAAGGGACACCAAACCACTGATGGGAAAAGGCTATTGATAGTGGACTAGTCTATCTCTTGCTCTGGGCAACCCTTTTCTGGTTCCTCTCTTCTATTTCTTTAGTTGTCTTTTTCTAATATCTTCTCATCATGATATCTAAGTGCTTAGTGCCTCCCCTTTGGCAGAACACCTGCTTCTGGCCAGCTAGCAAGTACAAATAGAAACACCTGAGTGTCAGCTATGAACATTACAGTGTGCTACAATGGACCCATCTGCAGTATTTGGCACATGCCAGGGATTTTTATATGTCACTGGCTGGGAAGTAGGATACCAGAGAGAGACAGAGGGGGGTGTGAGCGTCCACTGGGCAGACAGAAAACATTGTTTTGGTAAGGGTGCCAACTAGGGCTAGGTGGGACAGTCTGGATTTCTCCCAGCTGATGCATTCAATAAAAATTTCTAGGTTGATTTTAGAAAGGCAGGAGGTAGGTTTCCAGAAGAACAAGCTTAGGTGTGAACATTAGTAGTTGTTTCATTTCTTTAGAGAATAAAGCTAGTACCCCTAATAATACTTCAGTCAAAAGGCTTATTGTACGTTATTCCATTGCATGTACCATGTCTTGTGGATTGGCCCATGTGTTAGCTGTGGAAAAGGCGCCCCAGTGGATTTTTCTTTTTTTATTTGTGGGTACAGATCCAACCATTTCATTCTGTTTTTCAGGCCGTGTTATGTTGGACCACTCTGTATCCTGGAATGAATTTCATTCAAGAGGATGTGGACATGAGCCTCCTCTGGTATTTCCATACTAACATCCTGGGTCTAAAGAGTTATGATTGTTTTCAGTTTTACGTGACAGATGGGGAGAACAGCTGCCCACCGGAAAGCTTCTACATCTCCATTAGAAATGTGGGCAAAGGTAGGAAATGAGCCTACAGCAATCATGGGAAGGTTTAGCCCAATATATCCATCCAGTTCACCTAAGTGAAAACTGCAGCGTGTTAAAAAGAAAGGAAATGCTCCTTTTCCCTTTATGTGGCACTGATGTATTTTAAAATGCATGGGCGAAGTTTGTAGTTCATTTCCTCCGAAGAGGCCAGCTCCTCCCGGCATTCTGATGAACAAACTCATTAGAATAAAATCCATTATGCGCATAACTAATGACACAAGTTGACAAATCTGTTGACAATTATGGCCACATCCCTCATGCGTTTACTCATAACTCATTGAAGTGGCCAAGAGAAGGGAGTTCAGTCCAGAAGTCGTACAGCTCACCAGCTCCAAGCGCCGTGGTCTGAGATTATTTCCCCACTGGATTATAAAACTGTCATTAGTGAAGGTAACTCTCAAGGTCCGGGGCACAAGACTGTGAGCCGTTCTCGGGAGACCTAAAATCTCTTTGTAGGCAGGGTGGGGGTATTCCTGGGCTCTTATTCTTCTAGCTGGGTGGAAAAAAAATCACACAAAGTCTGTTCCAAGTACTATCGCATGTCCTTTAGAAATGAATAGAAATCAAATTGAGACACCAGTGTCCTCAGAGTGTTAAATTTTACTAAATTCTTGCCAGGCGGCTGTAATTTATTGAATGTAGGTTTTGTGAAATAGTGCTCCAGTCAGTGAGAAATTGGCACAAGAGAAATGGAGGCAGCTAATTCTCAGGGGGTCCTTGTTGGCAAAAACCCTCTATTGAGTCCTCATGCTACTTGTGCTCATAACTGCCGAAAAACCAGGAGTGCCATCTGCAAACTGTGATTCATAAACACTCTGTCAGTCTGCCATGTACCCTGACATCATGAAATAACAAGAAGCAGCATTGTAATAAAGAGAGGAGGTTTGCAGTCGACCAATTAAATGCATCTAATTTATTTCTGTTACAGCTGAGGCTTTATTTATTAGTAAACAGCTGCATTTGTTACACTTTTTTTTTTTAAACTAGGCGTGTGCCAACTGGCACTTTTGATAATCCATTAATCCTAAATAATCATCTGGGTACTTCATGGTTGCTGGAAAAAAAGAGAGAAAGGGTTATTAAAAGTTAAAATGTAACCTTGCAAGTAGGATGGAGGATACTATCCTGCAGTTGGCCTGCATGAGTTACAGTGATGTAAAGTTAGCAGGGCAACTTGTGTGCAAAGTATACACCCTCATGCACCCGCCTTGGCAGTCAACTGCAAGGGAGGTAAATCCCATGCAGGATCTGACCCTATGAATTTTAAACATAGCCTGTATGTGAAGAAGGAGCATTTTGCTTGCTGGTTTCCCTTCCCTCCCTATTTCTTAATGCTAACTTGATTCTCAGCATCACTAAGAATCCGCTAATTGGTTGTCAAAGTCTAATTAGCTGACATTACAAAAAGTGTGTGTGTATATGTGTATATATATATATATAGATATGTGTGTATGTATATATATATATATAGAGAGAGAGAGAGATTTGCCTTTTATAATTGGAGCTGAAAACCCAACCTTTCCCCCATCTCCCCCGGTGTGTGTTAATTGAGTTCTAGGACTTTTCAGTGTATTTTTAATGCTCTCTCCTTTTCAGTGCCCTGGAAAGCTTGGCAGTTAATGAGACAATAATATGTGCAATCAAGGAAAAATGTGGTACAAAATAGGTAAAGGCTTGTGCAATTGGGGGTGGTGACTGGAGTGTGTGTGTAGGGGAGGGAGTGGGTCTCTCTAAATTGGGGTCACAAAACTAGTACAGATCCATGAATTTCCCCCTTGGATGCGTTTTCCACCCCACCTCCACTTCCCAAGTGGGAATAATACTTGTAAAGAACTGTTTTACTATCTCAAAGGGGTGCCCTTGTGACAAGTGTTTGATACAGGAGTAACTGGATGACATTCTCTGGTTTGTGTTATACAGAAGGTCACACTACTGATGTACCCTTCTGGACTTAAAATCCATGAATCCATTAGGAGTCTCTTCCATCACCCTACCCTTCTAATATACGTTCTGATACTGTGCTCATCACCATGGTATCTGAACACCTTCCAGCAGTGCCTTATGCATCATGACTAACATCTGCCATGTGTTGTTTGTTCCCTCATCCTCTTCCCGGGGGAGAAGTGTATGCAGTGGAGTGTCTTGTTTTGGTAGGGTTTTTAAAATATACGTGTTGCCGTGTATTTTTTAAAAGGCATTGCTCCTAAAAAGAGGTGGGCGCACATAGGTGTCCTGTACGTGACACACGATCCATTTACTTTTTCAGCCATATTGTCCTCTTTTCCACCTTCTCTCTTCCTCCCCGGCACCATTCCCTCTGTACCTGCTTTTAAACTGTCCCCTCTGCTCCTCTTGTCATCCTAACTTCTCTGTTCCTTCTACCGCAAACCCACCAATGTTCTATTTCAAGTAGAACGTTCAAGCCCACGATGTTTGAGCAAGTTCATAACAAAAGGCACACAAATCTCCCAGCCCCTGGCAGAGAGAGAGATAAAATGCACAGTGGCCATTTAAACTAATGGAACTTTCAAGAAGCTGCCTGCAAAAACGCTGAGGTCTGAGAATGCCCAAATCAGAGAGGCTGGGCAATATTGCCAGTCTTGGGAGTCCAACTGTGTTTATTCTCTAGGTTATTGGATATGGAAATGACTTATCATTAAAAAAAAACATAGTAGGGCCAAAATCTGCCATCAAATAAAAATGACTTCACTAGAGATCTGATGCTAGAATTTGTAACCCGTCTCAATTTGTACCCTATGTATATTGAAATATAAGAAAAAAGTGATAAGAACAGTAGTTGATTGGACTAACCAGAAGATAACTGACATCTTTCTGTAATAATCTGATTTTAACATACTATTCTAATTCCAGGTGCTACAGTATTATGCTGCAAAGATGGGTTTTTTAAAATAAATTACTAGATGATGTGCAATGACCAAGCTATTCAAACATAGGTGCATGCTCTGCTGCAGCATGTCCTGAAGTCAACGTGACGTACGTGTGTGTTTTAAGAGCTTTGTTGAATCTGGGCCCTAATTCCATAGTTAGAGACCTAACTAGATGGCCTAATCTTCAAAGGTGCTAGGTACCTGCGGCTTTTATAAATTCCACTACAAGTGTGGACACTCAACATCTCAGACTTCATTCCTAGGGCCTTGTCTGCACTGACACTTTTTGGGACGTCTCCCACCATTGCACAACTCAGGTACAACTCCACTGGTACTAGCAATGGTATGGGCGCTACCCTCGACCAGCTGCTGGCGTTCTTAGCACCGCATTATCTAGCACGACTCTGAGAATGGTTTGGTAACTTGATATTGTTGGTCTAAACAGACCCATGACAGCAAGGGAAAGATTCCCCAAAACTGCCAGTTAGACACAACTTAAGCATCTCAAGTTGGGCATCTCAGTGTAAAGACTACTCTTGAGAACTTGGCCCCAAACCTTTCTGCCTTATTTTTCCCCTTCTGTAAAATGGGGATAATACTTGCCCACCTTGCTGGTGTTTTGTGATGATCAATTCACTAGCGTTTGAAAAATACTATATACATTTTGCAAAGAAAACTAAATTCCTTAATTTGTTTTAAGATGTAAATATGAGTGGCTAAATCCTCAGCTCGTGTAAATTGCCATAGCTGCATGGCCTTCAAGTGAGCCACAACAATTTACACAAGTTGAGGCTCTGGCTTGCTACAGCTGAGTATCTGCATAATCTTATATTTGTAACCTCTGTGCTCCATCCCCTCTATTTCCCTGCACCCCATAATGTTTGTTCCTCTCATTTGTTTAGTCTTGTCTTTTATTTAGATAGAAGCTCTTTAGAGCAGGGGATGTGCCTGTCTTTGTTAATGTAATGCTTAGCACACTGTGGGCCCCAGGAATGTAAGAAATAGTAACAAACACTAGAATGAACACACAACCCTTCAGTGGCTGGCAGCCTTCTGTCAGCACAGGCTTGGATGTATTTTTTTAAACATTGCCATTGGGTTACAGAGTTACCTTGGGTAACTTCACCTCCCCGTGCCTCACTTTCCCATCTCTAAAATGGGGATAATGATGCTGATCTTGGAAAGTGCTTTGAAGTATATTGATGACACTAGCTATGCTGACCCTACCTACAGTGTAGACACTACCTACGCCGATAGGAGGGATTCGCCCATTGGCGTAGGTAATACATGTCCCTGAAAGGCTGGCTTAACTATGCTGCTCACCCCTGACTGATGTAGGTAAACTGACCTAATTGTCTAATGTCTAACAAACCGTAGGGGCTTCTCCCTCAAATCTTCAAGGTGCCCTTATGCTGAGTGTTGTGATCACAGTGAATTGAAGTCAGTTACATTTTGGGGACAGGGAAAAAATTGTTTTATAGGCCCACTCAAAAATGCTAAGGCCTTGTGTAGTTGCCACAAAGCCTGATTAAGGGGGAGCACAGAGGCTGTGTCTCCTGAGTTTCAGGCAAGCTCCCTGACTTCTGGACCATCCTTCCCCTGCCAGCTTTGTTCCTCTCTCCTTGACTTTGATGTTTCCTCCCACACGCCTTGATCTCTTTTGGAAATAGCCTGGAAATGACTCCCAGACTTCAGATGAGCATTATGAATGTAGTAATACTCTTTCCTAGAGGCAACATATAACTGGAAACCCCCCACCTCTCTTTAAAACACAACTTTAATTACTTGACTTCTACCAAATGTTCCAAGTCCTGCATTTTCAAGTATGTGTTCCAAGGAAGAGTTTTGTGTTGGTGTTTATTTTTTTTTTAATTTCCCAAAAAATTTCTTTCAAGTGTTGGTTACATTCACTTTATAAAGGCAAAATAACTAATTGTGTTTATACTGTGGTTAACCATGAATAAATTCCTAAGCAATTAGTCACCTGCTTAATGCACGAAATATAGTAGATGCAGTACATCCTAGTGTCCCATTGGTTTCAGTGGCATACCAGTACAGCACAGCAGATGCAGTGGGAAGCCAGCAATGATGGTTTTCATGGTTAATAGCCATGAAACATTTTGGGTAAGATTGAACCATCAAACTGGTTTTGAGAGCAGTGCCGCAAACTTGGTGCAGAACAGAGTTTGCAGCAGGAATAAAAAAATACATATTTAGAATCTACCATCCCCAATATTGCTAACTGACTTACATGAATAATAGGAGCTCTGTTGTACATGAAAGTCAACTGGCAACATTATAAGAAGGTAAGAGGCATGAAAACTGCTGGCTCAATGCTACAAACACCCTGCTTGTCCGTTATCATCAACATGTTAATCTGCAGCAGTGCATTGGGAAATTGGCATGGCATTTTTTCTTTTTATGTATCCTATCAAATGTAAAGTTTCTCTTTGCTTCAGCCTTTGACTTCCTCATGGTGATATGAAGATCACTCATCCTAAGCCCTGGGATAGTCCAAGATGCCATTCTCCCCTTTTGTCCCATTGTTGTCACCCAACTCATTGTGTTGTAACTTTAATACTTTCATTTTTTTATAACCTAGGAGAGTTAAGAGTGGATACTTTAGAACTGTATCAGAGGGCTGCGAACTGGCAAATTATTTCTACTTCTGATCCTAGTTGTCCAACTCCTCGTGATTTTAATGTATTTTGGCTGCTGTTTTGTAAATGGGAGAGAATTGTGTTGATCTTCCTGTGCCGCTGTGATTTTAAAAAATAAATCTAATGGATATGGAACCTCTGTTGCCGAGATTACAGCATCACATAGCGCTATCGGCTTAAAATGCAATGTTGTGCTTAGTGCTTCGTTCATTAAGGCATTTTGTCAATCGGCTCATTTGGGCCTATTAACTTAATTGTTCTTTGTGAACAAATGGGTCATTCTCTCTCCACAAAGAGAGAACCTCAAAGCCAGTTTAAATATTTTGGGGAACTCCCGTACATGCAAAACTAATGCATGCATATGTACACACACACACACACAGTGTGCACACACACTGAGTGGAATCTCCATATTGTATGGATCAGATTGGAAATTAAAAATCAGAAGGAGGAATGTTTTGTTTTTAAAACAAATGCTTCTAGATCTGTATGGTTGTACTGTTGCAAATGTCTTGTACGCACCTAAGTTAAAGTTTCTTTGTGCTATAAAAGATAGTAATTTAACTGAGGAAAATCCAAAACCTGGCAAGCTAAAACAAAAAATCCTTTTCCAAGCTGTTTTGATAAAGTTCTCTTTGTTAAATCCCCTACAGTGTTTTGTGGTTCATTTCCCCGACCTCTCCCTCTCTGTACAAAAAGCTGATTTCCCGCCCCCCCCCCCCCCCGT